GCTGAGTCTTCTTCATAACATTTCTTCCCCAATTGATCAAGGCTGCTTCCTCTTGTCATTCTGGTTTCAGCAGAAGTATCACCTCACTGACATTCTCATACCTCCCCCTAGTTTCCCCAGCCTAGCACATGCAAGACACTGGGTTCGATCCTTAGCACTACAAAAAATAAAATTAAAAAATAAAGGTATTGAGTTCATCAACAACAACAACAACAAAATGATTAGGGAAAGCTGAGTGATTCTTCTGTCATGTCATAAAATCTTAACACACTTACCTATATTTAAGAATTGATACAACCACACAACTTCTCACCCTGCCCCCTGCCCCTATATGAAGCACGATACCAGACACATGTCTCAGTTGCAGGCATGTGAGGCCCCAGTGAGAGAATCAGACACCTCGTGCCTGTGGAAAACCTCAGACGAAAGTCATCGCCTTTGGAGATGGGATAGGTTTCTGAAGTCACCAGGCACTCCACAGCAGCAAGCAGAAAGGGAAATGTGGATGAATTGGACAAGGTTAAAATCAACTGTGTTACCATAAAGAGATGGAGAAGACAACCTGCAGAGTTAGAAGATGGTTGTAGTGGATGATTGCAAGGGTTGTTGCAGAACAACTGTACAGAGATACATCATTCAGTGGGACTCTGAGTGCTAAGGTTGCTGCCCAGCAGTAGGTCCCTGCACAAGCCATCAATCACCAGTGTGACTGAGCACTTGAAGTCTGGCCAGTGTGCCTGAGAGACAGCCTACTGCTTGTGAATGGGCAAAGATCTGAGCTGGCGTTTCACAGGAGAAAGTCCTGGGAGGATCAGAGCAACCAGAGGAAGCTGCTGGAACCAGTCCAGGGCCATGGTTCCAGGAGCTGTAGCAGGATTGAGGGGCATGCAGCTCCCTCCAGTGTGAGTTTCCCAGAAGAGGTCTAGCCCTCAACAACACTGCCCTCCACCAGTAGCACTCAGCCTATGTAAATGGGGTGGGACTCAAAGGGTGACGTGGTGAGAGAACCCCCTACAGAAGGACATTGCTGGCGTAAGTCCAGAAAGCAGGCCAGGCTGAGCTACTGAGGGATGCTGGATAGCTGGTAAAGAAAGGAGAGGAGGGGTTTCCCAGGAGCCAGCAGGCCCTGTACTCCAAATGGGGAACATGGTACTACACTAGTGTTTTCCCTGTGCTTCTTAAGCTGCAGGCGTGCTGTGGAGCTGCCTATTTTGGAATGATATATTTTAAAATAAATCAACAAAAGTAGTGGTGAAGAGACTTTCACACGCTGATATTTATTCACCTAAAACAAAAACAAACCAAGTCAAACTGGATTGAAGGAAACTGTTAAAACATCTCAAAGCCCATTGGCTAAAACTCAGAGCAGATACACACTGAGTGCATAACTGGCCTGCTGTTCCCATCCCAGGGGGGGAAGGCAAGCTCACTGTGCCCACTGCCTACACACTGCTTTGGTGGCCACAGCGATGGAGCAGAAGGCCTGTCCCTTTGTTCATAGGTGGCATCATCTTATAACCTGGAAACCAGGTGACTGCTTATTTTTAGAGTTTTTGGTTTCAAAGATACAAAGAAGGCAAACATGCAATAATCAATAGCTTTCTCTTTTAAAGTATGAAAAATATCTCACTCCCCCCAAAAATCATCAGTCAAATGCTTATTCATAGATTTGCAAGAAAGACACAGAACCTATATTAGAATCATAAAATCTATTTGGAAGAAATAACCAAAACACTAATATAACTAATGTATAATAGTGGAAAAACTTAACATTATTATAAAGCTGGTTTCCAAATCAGTGTATGAACATACTGCAGCCCAGTCTGAGCACAAATGGCTTATGTTTTTCTGAAAGTTGGTCTTGGAAGCAATAACTTATAGAAGGAGAAAAGTTCTGAGAGTAGCCAGTACATTTCTAAAAAGGAATATTAGTGAGGAAGGACTTGACTGGTCTTGGAGATACTAATCCTTCTAGTGACTCCAGAAGGGGACGGACAGTGCCCTCACTCCCAGAAGAGGTCCAAAGTGCATGTGTGGGCATGAGGGGAGGCTTATTCAGTAGCTGGCCTGCTTTGGAAAATGCCATCAGTGAGCATGGATTTCAGAAAAATTAAAGCTCTGCATGTTTTTAACTATGAAAGTTGCAAAAATCAGGAGAATGTTTCACTAGCCTTTGAATAGGGTTGTCTTCACAGGCAAGCTTGGAGGCCTGGGGGCTAGAAATGAAAGGGTAGGGGCAAGATCACCAGGCCAGGGGTGGGGTCCTCCCTGACTACTGCAGCTGAGTAAAGTGATTAGAAATTTAAACAGGAGGAAATGTAGGCAATGAACATGAAGCCTTGTCAACCTTGTGAGTAGATGTGGACTTGGCTGATGGAAAGGAACACTCTATCATCAGATGCATAGACCTCTATCTCTTATGACACCTGGTGCTGTCAAAGATGTGGGGAAATGGCACTTTCAGACCTTGTTGTGTGAGTGCTAGTCACTGTCACAGAAACCTATTGATGGCTGAGAAAAATTTTTAAATATGTCTTTTATTTCAGGGGGTGGTGTTGGGAAAGAAGTGGAGGTGGTTTTGCCTTGACTATTACTGAATCTTCTACCTCTAGCTTTTTGGTGTCTGTGATTTCTGCTACCACAGAGGGAGGTGACTCTGTTTACAGAGATGTAGACACAGGTTTCACTATCCACAGCAACTGGAAAACATGGTTCAATATCCTCCAGCTTGGTTGCTGACAGCTGAGATGTCATGGTGGCCGCTGGAGACTCTCACTTTCCCTCTGTTGATGTTGCTATAGTTGATGTGTCTTCCAGTTTTGATGATTGATCTTCCTCCAGCTCAGCAGGTGTGGCTGTGAGCTGCCCCAAGGGTAAGGATGGAAATTGGAGCTCTTCTGCCAGAGGCATTCCTATAACTTGAGGTGGCACTGGAGCTATAGAAGACAAGACCCCCAACATGACTGCCTTTTCCCTGGGCTTTCCCAATTCATGCAAGAACCCTAACCCTGAGAATAAACCAGCTCCTGTCCCCACAATAGAGGTCTTCCTAGATAGACGAGGGTCCACCAGGCTCGTCTGGCTTGGAACCAAATACAAGTTCCTGGTAGGGACAGCACAAGTCTTCCTCACACACTTGATCAACCCCAGATTCTCATCACAGGGCTCAGACTCACTGGGATCTGGGTCCTCCTGCTGCATAAGGAGTCTGAGGATGTGGAGGGTTGCTGAGGGCCATTGCCAAGTAGAATGACGCATCGAAATTTCCTTGCCAGCGTACCCCATGTTGCTTAGAGGAAGGACTCGTGGAAATGGACTTGCCTTGGACATTCGCTATGACATTGCATGTATGTTTGAGAAARGTGACCCTGCTCAAGGACCAGGGTGGATCTAGGTTTAGGGTGTATCCTGCAGGTTTTAGGAAGTATCCTCTCCTTGGGTTTAGGGCGTTCCGGGTTTAGGACAATCTGGGTTTAGGGCAGTTCCAGGTTTAAGGTTATTCCTGCTGGGAATAGGGCGTATCCTGCTACCTGAGTTCCTGTTGAGTTCTCGTGGAATTGAGAAAGTATTTGGGATGTGAATTGGGCAGAACTTGGATTTCCCCAGAACGTGTTTGTTGAGGGCTGGTGTGAGTTCGGGAATAAAGAATTGCTGTTTGAATCTACAAGGTGTGTGGTGGCTCGTGATTCTGTGCCCAGCCAGACTGCGGCAGAGGGTCAGCCCTGATGAAGGCACTGTGAGCTGCAGGAAGGTCCTGAGATGCTTCAGGGTGTCCACATCAGGGGACCCCAAAACATCTTCTGGAGATTATATATCTACTTATCTATCTATATTAATGTTTGTTTGATAGAGCACAGGGTTCTGTGGAGTTTGGAGTGAGGCAGGCAGCCATCAGGAATTGAGTCTCTCCAAAACCTCCCAAGGACCCCTTCATGATGGGCTTCCCAAAGAGTGCCAAGCGGTCCACATGCAGCTGGGCAAGGAGGGCAATTCTATGAGGTGTGTCTAGGTGGTTCTCCAACTTCTGTCTAGTCTCTATATAGGAAAGCGTGGGCAACCATGGCTGGGATTGGCTATGCTGGGAAGGGATCCTCACAGGGACTGGCTCTGAGGCCTCAGCCACTCCTCTGCTCCTTGGGGACCTGATACCCCACCACACCTCTCTGTATTCCTCCTGTAGGCAAAGCCATGTACCTTAGCCCTGGGCTGGGAATCATACAGGTGTGGGACCTGGGGTTTGCCCAGGGTCTTTTACACCAGCCTCCTGTGTGCCCCCATCTGGAGAAAGGAACCCTCCCTCTTGGCCCAAAGACCATTCACTTCTTTACTTGAAAGTATTCCTCAGCATCTCCCTGGAGGTTTTCATACCTAGAGAAGACCAAGAAGGTGTCACCTGTTCCATCCCATGCCCCCTACCTTCCTAGATGCCTGGTGGAATTGAATAACTTCCTGATAGTAATGGAAGCTCTGAGGGCTGGTTTGTCTGCACTACTTCCTGAATGGTAGGCCTCTGCTTCACATACATTGGAGCCATGAATGAACCCAACCACCTACTGCCTATCTATCTCAATGCCTGGGTCCCCTCAGTCCATCCCAGGGGTCCTTCTTCTGGCTACATGGAGATCATGGACCTTGCTGGATGCAATCCACATACTCCTTCCTGAATGTGGAAGCTGTTTTTCTGAGGCCTCAGAGGAGTGAGGCCTGAGGCAGAAAACTTCCTCAAAGGACTGGCCCATAGGAGAAGCTCGGAGCCCTTGGCAGGCTGCTTCACAAGACCAGGTCTGAGGCAAACACTCCTGGGGCTCATCCTACATGGTCTTCTAAATACCCAGCAGGGTTCTCCTCTGAAAATCCTACTTTCCACGGAGCTGACTGAGGCTCAGAGTGATGCCCGGCATTCCCAGCACCAAGCCTGGAGATGGCCATGTCCCTGGGCTTGGAGGTGGTATCTACTTTTTACACAGCAGCTCCATCGACATCTGTGTATTAATCGAATAATGGTAGTTGCACAAAAATTCGTGGACAAAGGTGGTGTTGCCTCTTCACAGGTGAGCACCAGATGACTAATGATGTCCTCCAGAACAATTGCCTTGAGTGTTTCCACCAGGCTGGACAGATTCACTGGTGCAACTCTGTTATGTTCATCCTAACATGGGGAACCAAAAAGGGACATTTCAACATGGAATCAGTAGCAAATTACAAAATGATTCACTGCCATACACTCAAATGAAATCAAAAGAATTTTCCTTCTTTTTCTCAGGGACCTCTCTCTCTCTCTCTCTCTCTCTCTCTCTCTCTCTCTCTCTCTCTCACCCACCCACACACACACACACATGGTTGTGAGGTCCGGGGATATCCAATGGGGAATCAGAGTGGTGAGCTAGCCTAAGCTCACCTGCTGTGGGCTGCTCTGTCTCATTCCTGGGTTCCCTGAAAAAAAGGAACCCCAGAGACAAGGGGATCAAACACTGACCCAGCGCCTCCACACTTGGGAAAGGCCCTACTCAGGGCTTTCCTGAGTCCTGAGAAGCTACAGATTGGTAGACAGGAACCATGGCTCTGAGCTTAACTGTCTCCATACAAATGAGCCAACTGGGGCTGTACTGGATTGTGGGTGCCTGGCTATCAGAGTTCCAAGTTCTATTTGTTCCATTGTCAAGGAAGTGACCTCACTTCCTTGGGGTCCCCTTACCTGAAGCACTTCCTCACAAAATAGGTGCCATCTAAGAATCTCCTTTCTCCCTGTGACACATGCACAAGTGGATACAATTATACCAACACACCCTAGCTCAGGTTTCAATAAAGGTCTGGGTAGAGCCAGCCTCCCAGGTGTGGGAAGACAGAGATTGGTTCAGACCCATCCTCTCCTTTTTGCTGTGTGTTTGATCCTGAAGAAGTCACTGAACCTTGCAGGGTCTCCCTACCTTCCCAAAATGTTTCTCAGGGACCATGCTAGCATCTGCTTTTCAGATTGTCATCAGGTGTATGGGTCTATACATACCTATATTTACCTGTGAAATGGGAGAGTCACACGATGATAATTAACAAACATACAGATGACATAGTCACAACTGGGGTGCGGGGAGACAAAGGATGACAAAGGATCTGAGTCCCTCAGTGAGACAGGGAAGGTCCCTTTCCTCTTGGCCTTCCACTCTGCACCAGTTGAAGTGACTGATTTTCAGAGATTCTGCCTCTGTCATAGACCTTCTAGTGGCTTCCTGTGAGCTTCAGACATGCCTCAGATGCCTCTTCTCAGAGTAGGAGGTCTTCATGCCATGGGAGCTCCCAAGAAACACAGCATCCTGGAGCCCAAGGCCTGTAGTCCTCTGCTCTCTAGGTGGATACAAACCTGCATCTGGCTTCTAAGAATAGAAATTAGCAATGGTCAAGGTAAAGTACCCAAAGGTTGAGTTATGGGAAGTCTCATTTCTGTCTCCTCGTAGGAAATGAAGCTGAGACATTCCAAGCAGCCCTGTGGACAGCCCCAGGGGCATCCATACCTAAGTTTCTTGACCAACAGAGGGTTAAGAAGGCTCAGTCACATTGGATTCTGCCAAAAAGACAGGAATGATCTCAGAGGCAGATCCTTTTGTGCCGCAGTCCGGTTGCATCAARATAACCGGGGGGTGACGAACAACTTGTGTAGATTGATACAGCAGGAGTAGGAGCTGTTTATTGTAGGACAACAGAGGTATTTATACATTCCACACAGCTTATCTTAATTAACATAAACTAGATACAGCAGTCAATCAATAAGAAATCTCTACATTTAATAGCTCGCTGGCGCCACCTCACAAACCACTCTCCCTGGCAAAATGCCAGGCACCATCCTGACTTGTTTACAGACTCTAACACTTTTGGATGTGCCTCCTGAAGACCAGAGACCCAAGGCTCCTGACAGACCTAGATACACAGGCAGTAGCTGAGCTGGTCTGAATCTCGGTGCTCAGAAACTGGGACATCACCGCTCTCTGTGGCTATCAGCAGTGGAATGCTAACCCACAGCACTGGACAACTAGTGTGGAGACTAGGCCCTGGGTCTCCCTTCTCCTCCCATCTTGGCCCAGTCTCTCCTAAGCCATACTGGTCTCCTTTCCAATGTCCCACCTCACTAATGCCACTTCCCCACTCCAGTCTCTGCACTGCTCAGCCTTCCTCATGGCATTTCTTCCCTAATTGATCTTGGCTGCTCCCTCTTGTCATTCTGGTTTCAGCAGAAGTGTCATCTCCCTGACACTCTTACATCTGCCCCTTAGWTACCCAATCCTCTTTCCCCTCTTTGAAATGGTTGTTGGTAAAAGCTGTCCTGAAACTTTCTCAGGCTTCCTTCTTTTCAACAGTTTAGCATGATTAACTGATTTAAGATTCACATTCACCCTCCTCTTTGCTGATTCTTGTATAACTGAAGACCATGGCACACATGGGATACATTTAAGGGCAATCAGGGACTTTTAAGAGGGCTTGGTGTTCCATCACTTAAATTAAATCTCTCAGGAAACCCTTAATTAACATAAACTAGATACAGCAGTCAATCAATAAGAAATCTCTACACTTAATAGAGTGATTCTTCTGCCACGTTGCAAAACCCCACACATTCACTAATGTTTTAGAATTTGCAGTCTGCTATACCCCTTTTGTTTTCCACTGAGATTTATGAAAGTAAAGTATCACATTTGAAGAGAGTCTTGCCCTTCCTGGCAGTATCATGAACCCTGTGATCTTTAAGATCCTGGTTATGATAGATGTGCTCTCTGGTTACGGAAAATGGCACATCACCCTCTACTGATTTTCTGACTTTTTCTTTTGGTATCCTTCCCTGCACCACTGGTGGGCAGTATTTTGAAAATCTGTACTTATCTTTGTGACAAAGTGACAGCAGCATGTCTTGTCATAGTTCTTTTGTGCATTGGTCATCAGGGAGACCAGGGAGAGGAGGGATGAAAGGGGCCCCATCGCAGAGGGTACTGCTGGGATAGGTATATTCTTGGTGTTTTATGTTTTTGATGTTATTTTATGAGTTTCTTTTAGTGAAATGTCCTAGGAATTAATTCTACTAGTATTTTATTCAGCTTTTTGTGTTGTGACAAAGAACTGACAAGAACAATTTTAGAAGAAAAAATTTATTTTGAAGCCCAAGGTTTCAGAGGTCTCAGTCCATAGATATCCTACTCCATTCCTTGTGGTTTGAGGTAAGGCGGAATAACATGGTTGAAGAATGAAGCAGGGGAAAGGATGTCAGGAGATGGCGACCAAAAAGCAGAAATAGGGAGAACTCTGCTCAACAGAGACAACATATAAATCCCATCAGGGACCAATCTCATGCAGCCACTGCCTACATGACTATAGTCACCACCCAGTTAATACTATCAAAGGATTAATGTGCTGATTAAGACATTTATAACCCAATCATTTCACTTTTAAACTTACTTCATTGACTCACACATGAGCTTTTCTGAGACAGCCAGTATCTAAACATCACAATTAGTTTTCACAGTTGCTTTTTGGTGGCTTTGTTTTCCCTTTTTTCTCTTTCATGTATTTGATTATTTTTCTTGATAATTTGAGAATTCTGAATAAGCTTCAAAGATAATACAAAATTCCAAGATAACCCTAACCCAGATTCCCCAATGCTATTATTTTTTTATATTATCCCCTCATCCTGCCACATTTATCAATGAATAAAATATTTCTGAGTAACACTCAAAGAGTAGGTGGATAAGATATGTTCCTCATGAACTGGTGAGATTATACTATGTATACAAAACGAGATATGAAAAAATTATGCTCTCTCTATATAATAAGAATTGTATTGCATTCTGCTATCATATATAAATTAAAACATTTATACACAAAAAAGATATGTTTCTTACTCTTAAAAAATCATCAAGAATATTTACATAGCTACAGTGTCATTGCCAAATTCCATAAAATAAACTGTTAGCTTTCACATATGATGGAGACCATGTGGGACTTGTCTTTCTGTTTCCTGGGTTATTGAACTTAACATAATGTCCTATGATTCCATCAATTCCATCAATTTTGATGCAAAAGGGAGGACTCCAGTCCTCTTTATGGCCATATTTATACTACATTTTCTTTATGAACTTTTCTTCCAGTGGGCATCAGATTCCATTCTGTAGCTATTGTGAAGAGTGCTACAATACACATGGAAATGTATGATTGCTGTTTCACAGTAAATATCATTGTCCTAGTGGGTATTGCTTTTTAATGCATCACYCACCCACCCCCCAAAAAATAGCAACACAAATAAAAATACATTTCATTTTGCCCATTATTTCCAGATTCATAAATTTAGCAAGGATTCTTGGCAGCTGCTTCTTGTGGTCTCTCATGAGGTTGCACTTGGATCTCATCTTCAGCTGAGGTAATTTTAGACTTTACAAACCTGGGAAACCAGGATAGTTCATTCACATGGCTGGTAGCTTGAAGTTCAACTGTGGCTACTGACAGAACAACATGCAAATACTCTCTCCCACATGATAGTCCACAGAGTAGATTTCCCATTAAGCAAACATCCAATGTCAAGAGAAGGAGGCCTGACTTTCTTAGCTAGGTTCCTACGTCAAGCTGTGATGCCTTCACCAAATTCTGTTGCATTTTGACAACTCACCACTGTCAGCCCAGATTGGAGGGCAGGAGGAATGGACTGAAGAGGTCAATAGATAGAGTGTCACAGATTTTGTGGGTATTTTTATAAACTAAATGTGTGTTGAATATCTAACTTTGTATATTTTCTTTTTTTTTCTTTTTTTAATTTTCATTGTTGGTTGTTCAAACATTACATAGTTCTTGATATATCATATTTCACACTTTGATTCAAGTGGGTTATGAACTCCCATTTTTACCCCGTATACAGATTGCAGAATCACATCGGTTACACATCCATTGATTTACATATTGCCATACTAGTGACTGTTGTATTCTCCCCTCTACTGTAATTCATTTCTCCCCCTTGTATTTTTTTCCCTTTCCCCTCACTTCCTCTTGTATGTAATTTTGTATAACCCTGAGGGTCTCCTTCCATTTCCATGCAATTTCCCTTCTCTCTCCCTTTCCCTCCCACCTCTCATCCCTGTTTAATGTTAATCTTCTTCTCATGCTCTTCGTCCCTACTCTGTTCTTAGTTACTCTCCTTATATCAAATAAGACATTTGGCATTTGTTTTTTAGGGATTGGCTAGCTTCACTTAGCATAATCTGCTCTAATGCCATCCATTTCCCTGCAAATTCTATGATTTTGTCATTTTTTAATGCAGAGTAATACTCCATTGTGTATAAATGCCACATTTTTTTTATCCATTCTTCTATTGAAGGGCATCTAGGTTGGTTCCACAGTCTTGCTATTGTGAATTGTGCTGCTATGAACATCGATGTAGCAGTGTCCCTGTAGTATGCTCTTTTTAGGTCTTTAGGGTTTTTTTCTCTATCAAATATGGCCTTAATAACCTAAAACTCATCAAGCAAATAGGAATGTCAAATTCTCTCACCATCTCTCTTAGTATCCTATTATATTTCTTTTGTTTTTGTCTTTCTCTTCTTCACTATGTATTTTCCCATGTTCTTCCAGTTAATATTTCTATTTTGTGTTAACCTACACTGCTGTTAGACTCATCCTCTGTTTTCTTACTTCTAGTCACTGACTTTATTGGTCTTTTTTACTGAGATCTTTTTAGTTATACATAACTCTCAAATATTTATTGATTTTTTGTTATTTTCTACCAAGATCCATGTCATGTCATTTAATTTATAAAATGTAATCATGATTATTTGAATTAACTATAAGGATTTACCAATACCACTCTATGAAAATCTTTTTATTTTTCTCCTTTGTCTAATTTGTTTTATACATAATTTGCTTTTTATATATGAGGCTTTTATGATTGACAGGCATCATATATGAAAAAATCTACAAAAACGTCAGAAAGAAATTTATCTAACTTCTTCAATTCACTTTATTTAGGGTAGATCACATTATACAAAAAGAATTAAAGTTGTGAGATACTGGGCACCATCTCTGACAAAAATGTTTTCTATAAAATACAAGTTTCCTGGGTGTTTAATTTGATTCCTCTTCTTTGGTCCAACCTAAATTTTACTTGGCACTCCCAGGAAAAATTGGCAAACATGCTGAGATTTTCGGAGTCTTACCTACTACGTTTGAATGCCCAAATGCCTCCAAGGAAAAATCACTGATTCTAGTTTTTACTTTTCTCTGAACTCAACTCCTAAGTCTTGCTTCCCTGGAAGATGTGCAGTACTTTCCAACAGCACTGCCATATTCACACTTTCCTAAAGTCATTCCTGGGACTTTAGTAGATTTATACTTCATTTAACTAAGAGAGAAGTGTGTGTTAGAAGCAGAAGCAGAATCCTTGAATAGAAGATAGGAAATTACTGATTGTGGGCTACAGCTTTCAGATGCCATCACTGGATTATTGTCAAGTTTAATTCCATTTCCTGCTCTCTACTCCATCTGTAGGAAACCAGACCCAGCTGCTACCCCAGTGCAATGACTCCTGGTCTGAACCAGCAGGCTCTGCAGCCTCTGAGGGCCACTCTGCCAACTGTTCAGGTGAGCAAGGCTTCCAGCAACAGAGCCTTCCCATTCCCTGTGCAAATGCCCACTGACATGACCCTGTCTCTCCTCAGACAGCAGAGAGCTCTGCCTGGTGGATGGGGGCAGTCGCTGTGCAGGGAGAATGGAGATCCTGCAGCAGGGCTCCTGGGGCTCCATCTGTGATGACAGCTGGGACCTGAATGATGCCCACGTGGTGTGCAGACAGCTGGGCTGTGGAGTGGCCCTGGAGGCCACCGTCTCTGCTCATTTTGGAGAGGGATCAGGGCCCATCTGGCTGGATGAGGTGAACTGCACAGGAGAGGAGGCCCATGTGTGGCAGTGCCCTTCCCAGGGCTGGGGGCAGCACAACTGCAGTCACAAGGAGGATGCAGGGGTCATCTGCTCAGGTCTGTGATATACTCTGTGCATAGGCTGGAAGGGTCTGAAGGATGATGTCTGAGCCCTGCAGCAGGGTTGAACAGTTGCTGACAGCGCAGTGGTGAGGTGGTGCTCTCACAATTCCTGTCCTTCCAGCAGAGGAGAAGATGAGGTGCTTCCATTTCCTGCTGTAGCAGCTGAGATTCTGCCCCTTCCATCTCAGCACTGTCCCCTGACACAGTCATTCTCTACAGTGTCCATTTAAAGCCGTCATCAGTCTTCCCTTACCTGCCAGTGCAACATCCTGACCCACTGAATTAGTCTTATATTTCTTCTGTAACAAGTTACCATAGATTTAGAGTCTTAAGACAATACAAAGTTATCACCTTACAATGTGTAGGTTAGAAGACAGACTTGGGTCTGTGTGGGCTATAAACAAGGCGTGAGCAGGATGCAACAGCCAAAGCTCTGGGAAGACTCATTTTCTTACACTTTTCCACTGTTAAAAGTTGCCTGAATTCCTTGTATGAACCCTTCCTTCTTCAAACCCAAAGTGTTTCAACCATCTCACCATTCCATGTTCACATCACACTCTGGTGAGGGCCAGAATGGCTTATCTGATTGTGAGGATACAAGTGTAAGGATGTCATTACATTGGGGAAATCCTATCCAGGATGATCCAGGATAATCTTACAATGAAAGCAAACTTTTGTTAATATTTTTTTGTTGTTGTTTTTGTTTGTTATTTTGGTACTGGGCTTGAGTCAAGGGACTCCACCACTGGACCACAGCCATGACACTTTTGTTTATTTTTTATTTTGAGACAGAGTCATTCTAATTTGCTGAGGCTAGCTTTGAACATGGGGTGCTTCTTTAGCCTTCCAATCAACTTGGAATACAGCCATGTCCCATCTTGCCTAGAGAAAGGACCATTTTCTTAAGCTTGTTTGAAAAGCCCTTTTGCAATGTGAGCTAAAATAGTCATAGTCTCCCAGGATTGGGAAGTGGACATATTTGAAGCTCCACTATTCTACTACCCTCTGTTTATGCTCATTTTTTAGGATATGTCAGATGGTTAATCAGAGAGCAGATAAAGAATTCACTTTCTGCAGAGCTCCCAGATCAGTATTCCTGCCTATTCATTTGCTAATATTACATTGTTGTAGAAACTGAAAAAGAGGTACAAGTTAGCAAAACAGGTTAAAGGGACAAAAATTTCAGTCTTCTACCTAGTGGGCACGTCCTCAGGAGAGTCAGCAATGAGCACTCACTACTTAGGAATAAAGAAAAAACAACAGTAAGAGTTGAATGCTCACTGACCCCTGTTTTCCTCTTTTCCATTTCAGAGTTCCTGGCCCTTAGACTGGTGAATGAGGACCAGGAGTGTTCTGGGTGGCTGGAGATTTTCTACAACAACACCTGTGGCAGTATCTGCAGCAGCCCTATGGAACACATGACCTTGTCCATGATCTGCAAACAGCTTGGCTGTGGGGACACTGGGACTCTGGATTTCTTGTTTCCTCCCAGGGAAGGTTCTAGACCCCGCTGGATAGATGGAATCATCTGTTGAAAAACTGATAGCTCTCTCTGGCAGTGTCCTTCTGACCCCTGGAAACACCAATCTTGTTCTCCCAAGGAGGAAGCTCATATCACGTGTACAGGTGACCTACTGTCTATTTCTATGTGTTTGTCCTATGCCTGTAGGTTGTTGTCAGGAAAAGTTCATATACGCAAACATAATGGATGAGTTGAAGTAAGTCTACAAAATGAAAACTGGATAGAGATTACTTGATCAACATGTTGCAGTCCTGTTTTAAAGATAGATGTGAGGAAACCATTGATAACAATTTATATGAAAAGTATCAGAGACAGAACTGAACATATGGGAGCATGAAGTTATACTCTGTTGAACGTTCTTAGAAATTAGCTAATGCAGTCTGAAGTTATATTAATTAAACTGTATTATCTTAGTGACAGGGTGAATGATTTGACCTCAGTTATACGCATTGCTTGCTATGTGGTTGGTATCACTTTGTTCCCACACTTCCACCCCACCATAGGTAATGTGGCTTAATCATCACTATCATCTGATTATAGGTATCACAATGATCATTTATCTGAGATGAGGAAATGGAGGATAGGGGTACCACTTCATATCTCTCACGCTTTCAAGTTAGTAAGGGGCAATTTGTGGAACCAAATATATTGGGCTCTTATTCTAAAATCCATCTACACCAGATGGATAGTCTCTCAGGTCATTTTGTTGATGGAAAGTAATCTAGTGATTTGTAGATAGAACCTTAATTCCAAGGCAGGAGGACAGACACAGAAAACAACACCACCACTGTCTTCATGGATTTTACACTCCAGCCTGACAACAAAATTATGCATAAATGTGAGTGTCATGAAGGTATGGTGGAAATGTGTGATTTGAGGAAAAAAGAAATCATTTTTAGTTTGATAACTAAAGGAGGAGTAGAGATCCAATGAAAGAAGAAAGTAGAGTATTTATCAGTGTAAATACTGAGGTGGGAAGAGCATAATGACCTTGAGAAGCACTGATAAAATCTCATAATGTGTAGAGCAAGAAGAGGGTGGGTGGAGAGATGCATGATTACCTGGATGGTAAGAAGAGCTAGAGGTACCTCCAAAGCGTGTTCCAAAGCGTGGTTCCATGGTGGTTCCATTCCCAATTTTCCAAGAAATCTCCATAGTGCTTTCCATATTGGCTGCACCAATTTGCAGTCCCACCAGCAATGTATGAGTGTACCTTTTTCCCCACATCCTCACCAACACTTATTGTTGTTTGTATGCATAATAGCTAACATTCTGACTGGAGTGAGATGAAATCTTAGAGTGGTTTTGATTTGCATTTTTCTAATTGCTACTGATGATGAACATTTTTTCATGTATTTGTTAATTGATTGTACATCATCTTCTGATAAGTGTCTGTTCAGGTCCTTGGCCCATTTGTTGATTGGGTTATTTGGGTTTCCTGATGTTTAGCTTTTTGAGTTCTTTATTTATCCTAGTGATTAGTGCTCTATCTGATGTGTGAGGGGTAAAGATTTGCTCCCAAGATGGAGGGTCTCTATTCATTTCACAGATTGTTTCTTTTGACGAGAACAAACTTTTTAGTTTGATTCCATCCCATTTATTGATTCTTGATTTTAATTCTTGTGCTATAGGATTCTTATTAATGAAGTTGGGACTTAATTCCACATGATGGAGATTAGGGCCTACTTTTTCTTCTATTAGATACAGAGTCTCTGGCTGTATTCCTAAGTCCTTGATCCATTTTGAGTTGAGTTTTCTGCATGGTGAGAAATAGGGGTTTATTTATTTTTTTGTTGCATATGGATTTCCAGTTTTCCCAACACCATTTGTTGAAGAGGCTATCTTTTTCTCCCATGCATGTTCCTGACACCTTTGTCTAATATAAGATAATTGTATTTTTGTGGGTTAGTCTCTGTGTCCTCTATTCTGTACCATTGGTCTACCAGTCTGATTTGGTGCCAATACCATCCTGTTTTTCTTACTATTGCTCTGTAGTATAGTTTAAGTTCTGGTATAGTGATGCCACCTGCTTCACTCTTCCTGCTAAGTATTGTTCTAGCTATTATGGGTCTCTTATATTTGAGATGAATTTCATGATTGCTTTTTCTATTTCTATGAGGAATGTCATTGGAATTTTGATCAGAATTGCATTAAATCTGTATAGTGCTTTTGGAAGTATGGTGATTTTGACAATATTAATTCTGCCTATCCAAGTGCAAGGTAGATCTTCCTATGTTCTAAAGTCTACTTCGATTTCTTTCTTTGGGGTGCTATAATTTTTATCATATAGATCTTTCACCTCTCTCATTAAGTTGATTCCCAAGGTTTTTTTTTTTGAGGTTATTGAGAAAGAGGTAGTTTTCCTCTCTGAGGATTTGTCACTTATATACAGAAATGCCTTTGATTTATGGGTGTTGATTTTATATTCTACTTTGCTGAATTTGTTTACTAATTCTAGAATTTTTCTGGTGGAACTTTTAGGATCTTCCATGTATAGGATCATATCATCAGAAAATAGTGCCAATTTGAGTTCTTCTTTTCCTATGTGTATCCCTTTAATTTCTTTTGTCGAATTGCTCTTTCTTGTGTTTCAAAAACTATGTTGAATATAAGTGGTGAAAGAGGGCATCCCTGTCTTGTTCCAGTTTTTAGAGGGAATGTCTTCAATTTTTTTCCTTTTAGAATGATGGAGGCACAGAGATATTTTTCTGTTATCCCTAGGTTTTCTAGTGTTTTGAACATAAAGGGGTGCTATATTTTGTCAAATGCTTTTTTTTTGCATCTATTGAGATGATCATATGATTCTTATATTTGAGACTATTGATGTGATGGATTACATTTATTGATGTCTGTATGTTGAACCAAACTTGCATCCCTGGGATGAATCCCACTTTATTGAGGTCCCCATCTTTTTTATATGTTTTTGTATTTGATTTGCTAGAATTTTATTGAGAATTTTTGCATCTATGTTTATTAGAGATATTAGTCTGAAGTTTTCTTTCTATGATGTGTCTTTGTCTGGTTTTGGAATCAGAGTAATATTGGCCTCATAGAATGAGTTTCAAAGAGATTCCTCTTTTTCTTTTTCCTGAAATAAATTGGAAAGTATTGGTATTAGTTCTTCTTTAAAGGTCTGCAGAACTCAGCTGTGTATCTGACCACTCCTAGGCTTTTCTTGGTTGGTAGATTTTGATGGCGTCTGCTATTTCATCACTTGAAATTGATCTGTTTAAATTGTGTATATCATCCTGATTCAATTTGGCAAATTATTTGACTCTAGAAATTTATTGATACCTTTGATATTTTTATTTGATTGTAGAACAAGTTTTCAAAATAACTTCTACTTATCTTCTATATTTCTGTAGTGTCTGCTGTGATATTCCTTTATTGTCACATGTGTTAGTGACTTGAGTTTTTTCTCTTCTTCTCTTTGTTAGCATGGCTAAGGGTCTGTCAATTTTATTTATTTTTTTAAAAGAACCAACTTTTCTGTCAATTTTTTCAATTGTTTCTTTTGTTTCAATTTCATTGATTTCAGCTCTGATTTCAATTATTTCCTGTCTTCTGAAGCTTTTGGTGCTGATTGTTCTTTTTCTAGGGCTTTGAGATGCAGTGTTAAGTCATTTATTTGTTGACTTTTTCTTCTTTTAAGGAATATACTCCATGCAATTAACTTTCCTCTTAGAACTGCTTTTATAGTGTTCCAGAGATTTCAATGTTGTATCTGTATTCTCATTCCCCTGTAAAAACTTTTTAACCTCCTCCTGATGTCTTCTGTAACCCATCATTCATTCAGTAGCATAATATTTATTCTCTAGATGATGGAATTGATTTTATTTCTTATTTTATTATTGATTTCTAATTTCATTTCATTATGATCTGATAGAATTCAGGGTAGAATATCTACTTTTTTATATTTGCTAAGAGTTGCTTTGTGACTGGTATGTGGTCTATTTTAGAGAAGGATCCATGTGCTGCTGACAAGAAAGTATATTCTCTTATTGAAGGTTGCAATATTCTATATATGTAAGTTAAGTCCAAGTTATTGATTATATTTTTGAGTTCTATAGTTTCTTTGTTCAGCTTTTGCTTGAAGATCTATCTAGTGATGAAAGAGGTGTGTTAAAGTCACCCAAAATTATTGTGTTGTGCTCTATTTGACTCTTGAACTTGAGAAGAGTTTGTTTGATGAATGTACATGCTCCATTGTTTGGAGCATATATATTTACAATTGTTAAGTCTTGTTCCTGTATGTTTCCCTTGAGCAGTATGTAGTGTCCTTCTTTATCCCTTTTGATTGACTTTAGTTTGAAGTCTACTTTGTTTCATATGAGTGTGGAAAACCCTGCTTGCTTCCACATTCCATTTGAGTGGTATAATTTTTCCTAACCATTCTGTGGATGTCTTTTCCTATTGGATGAGTCTCTTGGAGGCTTTTTTGTTTGTTTGTTTGTTTGTTTTTGTTTTTGTTTTGTTTTAATCCGCTAGTCTATGTCTTTTGATTGGCGAGTTTGGGCCATTAATATTCAGGGTTATTATTGAGACATGATTTGTATTCCCAGCCATTTTTGTTTATTTTTATTATTTAATGTGACTGGGTTTCTCCTATGATTAGATTTTCTTTTAAAATCTGATTTTCATCATTTTATTCATTTCCTCTTCTTGGAATATTTTGCTGAGGATGCTCTGTAGTGCAGGCTTTCTAGTTGTAAATTCTTTTAACTTTTGTTTATCATGGAATATTTTTATTTCATCATCAAACCTAAAGCTTAGTTTTGCTGAATATAAGATTTGTGGTTGGCATCCATTTTCTATCAGAGCTTGGTATATATTTTTCCATGGCTTTGAGGGTCTGGGTTGAAAAATCTGCTGAGATTTGAATTGGTCTCCCACTATATGTAATCTGATTCCTTTCTCTTGAGGCTTTTAAGATTCTAACCTTATTCTGTATACTACACATTTTCATTATAATGTGCTTTGGTGTAGATCTGCTGTAATTTTGTACATTTGGTGTCCTATAAGCCTCTTGTATTTGGTTTTCCAATTTATTCTTCATGCTTGGGAAATTTTCTGATATTATCTCATTGATGAGATTGTGCATTCCTTTGGTTTGAAACTCTGTGCCTTTCTCTATCCCAATAACTCTTAGATTTGGTCTTTTGATGCTGTCCCATAATTCTTGGATGTTCTGTTCATGGTTACTAACTTTCTTCACCATGTGATGAACTTTATTTTCCAGATTATATACTTTGTCTTCATTATCTGGTGTTCTTTCTTTCAAGTGATCTAATCTGTTGATCATGCTTTCTATTATAGTTTTTTGTTTTGATTTATTATATCCTTCATTTCAAGGATTTCTTTTTTTTTCAGGATCTCTATTTCTATCTTGAAGTAATAATTTGCAACTTGTATTTGCTCTCTTATCTCGTTGGAGTAATCAATTTTTGCCTGTATTTGCTAATTTAGGTCATTCTTTAATTCAGAGATCATTTAATTATGAACCTTCTGAACTCATTCTTTGACATCCTATCAACTTTGCTGTCCATGGGTTCTGTTATTATAGTGTCATTGTTTGTTTGGGGCACATTCCTCCCTTGTTTTTTCATGTTGTCTATCTGTCTTCCTTTCTTGCAGTGTGGATCTGAGAAATTACAGTTTCTTCCCTATGTTTCTATAGTATCCATGCAGATTGTCTCTACCCCACCTTGATGTTGGGCTTCCAGACTCTGCTGGTGTCTCTCAATGGGTGCTCATGCATTCTATATCTGTGACCTGTGGAAGTTAAAGTGGGTGGATCTAGGCCACTGGGCTTGACCTCCCTTGGTAGTCTGCTGGTCAGAAGAGGCTGTCCTGTACCAAAGGTTAGGCTCTGATGATGTCTGCCACACTGAAGGAGGGGTGAACTGGACCTCCTGAGAGCCTGGATCCCATGTGGAGTGTGGTTCCCATGTTGGCTGGTGTCGGTGGTCTGGGCTGGCTCTTGGCTCCCCCAGTAGTCCACTGGTCAGAAGGGTTGGCCTGCACCAGAGGCTAGGCCTTGGGGAGAGTGCCTCTCCAGGAAAGTGGTGGACCAAGTGTGCTGTGCACCTGGGCTCTGCAGGAGCCCGTGTGGGTGAATCTAGGATTGGCATCCCTTCATAGTATGCTGGTAAGAACTGGACATTCTGCACCAAAGGCTGGGCTCTGGCATTATCTGCCCCACTGGGGGAGGAGTGTACCAGGCCTACTGAGAGCCTGGAACCCACATGGGCTAGTATGGTGGTCTCAGTCAGAATTATTATTGAAAGGTTTTTACAAGTGTCTGCCATTTTTTTTTTCTGGGAGAGTTTGAATAATCTATGGTCATGTATTTCTCCTTATTCATTTTGGAGTTTTGACAATTTACTGAATTGATAATGTTTAATTATTTTTTCTTGACAATTTACTGAATTGATAATGTTTAATTATTTTTTTCTTTCTCACTTGTTTATCTCCTCTTCTAGTGAGATTTATTCTTTCCTATGCTGTCATGGCTAGGTTGTCTTGCTTCCTGCTCTGTGTGTAGGATTGCTTCATTATCTTCTACAGTGCAGGATCAGTGGTTCAAAATTCCTTTCACTGATGCTTATCTTCAAAAGACTTATTTTCCTTTAATTCTTAAGGATAACTTTTCTGAACATAGTCATTTAGGTGGCAACTATTTTCTCTCAAGGTCTGAAGTACATCATTCATTGCCCCCTGGCTGTTAATGTTTCTGCTTATAAATCTATTATGTTAGGGTCTTCTTAGTAAGCACCCTTCTCTTGATGATGTGCCTTGGGGTGTAGGTGTCCTGTAGAGTTGAGATTAATTCAAAGTGGACACTGAGATAATTCAAAGTGGCTGTTTCTCTGGCTTCTTGGGCTGGTTATAATGGATTTTGAAACTCCAGGTATTATGTCAGAGTATAATATTTTTCTCTATATTTCTCATGCAAATGGGGTCCTTCTGGTAGTTCACACATGCTGTTATAGACAGCACAGTGTGTAGGGCATTCTTTCTGTAGCTATTTATCCAGTATTATTTTTAGTGTTTGATCTGAGAGGATATGGCAGCAACCTGTACTGAGGTCCTTCAAGGCATTTTTCCACAACATTTGAATTATTTCGCCCATGTTTTCTTAACCTGGAGATTGTCCAAGAGCTGGAGTTATGCCTACTTGTGGCAGCCTTATCTCCGCTGTGGATTTCTCTCTTCCCTATTCATTAAGTTGAAATACCCACCAACACTTCAGCAGGACTAGGTCATGGCTTCAGTAAGGTGCAACTTCTCTAGATTGGTTGGAGTTATATCTCAGTGGCAAAGCACACACCCAATATGTTTGAGGTTCTCTGCTTGATCACCAACATAACTCAGCAAAAAGAAAACAAGAGCAGTAACCACAACATAACAATAAACTGGCTAGCCATGTTGGCACATGCCAATAATCTCAGCCATTCAGGAGGCTCAGGCAGGAGGATTGTGAGTTGAAAGCCATCCTCAGCAACTTAGCAAGGTTTAAGCAACTCAGTGAGACATGTCTCAAAATACAAAAAAAAAAAAAAAAGAACCCGGTACATGTCTGTAATCCCCGTGGCTTGGGGGACTGAGACAGGACTATTTCTAGTTCAAATCCAGCCTCAGCAATTTAAGAAGGTGCTAAGCAACTCACTGAGACCCTGTCTCTAAATACAAAATAGGGCTGGGGATTTGGTTCAGTGGTTCAGTGCCTCTGAGTTTAATCCCCTGTACCAAACAACTCCCCCAAAAAATAAAATAAATAAATAAATAAAGGACTGGGCATGTGTCTCAGTGGTTAAGTTCCTATGAGTTCAATTTAGAGTACCAAATAAAATAAATAAATAAACTAGCTATAGAAATACAGTAATAACCAAATGCACTCAACAACAACAAAAACAGCTATAACAATTGATAAGGGGAAGAAGAAATATAGAATTAAAAAGAAAGTCAAAAATTAGTAAAAGAAAAATTAATTAAAAAATACTCAAGTTGGAAAATAATAGAGAAGGAAGAAGGGGAGTTAAAAAGGAAGAAAAATATTTGTAACAAAAAACGGGGGAAACATTAATTAGGCAGGTGGCACTACCTGTAATCCTATGGGCTCTGGAGGCTGAGGCAGGAGGATTACAAGTACAGTGCTAGTTTGAGCAGCTTAGAGAGAACATGTCTCATAAATAAATAGGTAAATAAATAAAATTATAAAAGACTGCGGATGTAGCTCAGTGGTTTAGTGCCTCTGGGTTCAATCACCAGTACAATAAAGAGAATGGTAGGGTCAGTGAGAAAGAGGAAGAGAGAAAAAATCCATTTGAAGTATTAAAAATAAATTAATTAATAATAGTAAAGAAAATATAATAAAGCATAAAGAAAAATATGTCAAAAATTCTTCCCAGCTAAAATATCTGCATTGAAGATACCTTTTCCACATCATCTAACACTTGAATCCACCAGGTATGTGAGAGTCAGTAAACTGCAAAAGAAAACCAGTTGCAGTTCTTCTCTCTTCCCACCAAACATGCTGGGATTGAGGGCAGTAGACTGTCTATACTGTGCTCCTTGTTTGATATCAAGGAGGCTAAAGGAGTCTTGACAAGACAGGCCATAATTTCCCTGCAGGGGTTTGACTGGAAACCTGAAGGTATGTCAAATGTCAAGTCAGCTTTTCCTTCAGTGGTCTGCAGACCCAACAGGTAGTCACATACTTGCCCCAGAGGCCTCTAGAAGGTGACCATTGAGGTGTGCCAAGGGTCCTAGCCATGGCGAATCCCTGGAAAGTCCCTGGAAAGCATGTGGAAAATAGTGTAATCCCTGAAATAGTCAACATGGCAATGCCATGAATTGCCAGACGTTGTCTCTGAGCTCTGACACCTGGTCCCTATGTGCAACCACATGTGCCTGGAATTGCTCTTCTTCACAGAGGGTTGGACCATATTCAATGAGACCTCCATCCCTCCCCTACAATTTGATGCTCTTGGCATGTTTGTGACAGGCACTCTTCCTATCTGAGACTGTAGAATACTAACTTACACTGAATCACTGTGACAGGGTGGCCTAGGGACCTAAAATTGTGCTTACTCCACATTATCAAAACCCCAGAGGACTTTAGTCCCTAATAATGGCCACTTCTTAAGATAGTTCCTAGTTATATCACTCAGAGAGCTTGCTGAGCAATGTGATGAAATTTTCTCTAAAGTTTGCTTGTTGTACAAGAGTACTCCCTCTCAGAGAAATGCCCCAAGTTTGATTGAAAGCTTGTAAGAACCATTTTCCCACAGGTAAGACGCCATCTGGGTTGTCTGCACTCTCCAATTTACAGCTGGAGATGAGGCTGTAAACTGCTTTGTACATTTCTCTGGGTTGCACTTCTTCTTTTCCCTGTTGTTTAGAGTTATCAAACACAGTTTAATAAGTAGTTCTTTGTAGTTCCTCTATTTCTCTTCTTAAAGTAAAATTATCCCTTTGTGCCCTAACATTTTTAACTCACAGGGTCACAACAAATTTACTTCTTTTCTGCTATTTACTTCTTTTTTTTTTTAATAATAACAACTTCTGAAAGAAGAATTTGGGGAAAAAAAGTAACATTCTATGATACGTAGTGAAGTTTAGTGATGTGGATATCCGAAATCATTTTGTGGGGAAACTTGCTCAATCTACTTAAAGAGAGTCAAGTTTTGACATTACATATCCAATCTGAATTCTAAAACCTAGAATCATTAGTGAAATATTTTGAGGTAAAGCATGGTCCATTCACTTTTCAGTCTTAATGACCATATGATTATGATTTCTCCTAGATTCATGGCTGTCACCTGATGTTTTTGATGATCTCATCCTTCCTTACTCTATCCCCTGTCTCTGGTCCTCCCACATCTCGGGCCATTGGCACTCAAGTTTGTGTGCTCAATAAGAACTAATCAGATGCTGGCCAATTGACTTTTAGAAATCATTCAGAAAAAGACACTTTCAACTACTCAAGGTAGGAAACCTGACATTCTAGAACCGTGTTATCAGATCCTGTGAAAATTTCTGCAAATAGTAAGTTTAACTCTGATAGCAACTACCTCATAACTTCTACCTGAGACATCTAACTAGACTATGATGTGTTTAATCTCACTTTTTGTTTTTTAAACAATTAATTCTCCTACTTATTTTGTAGGAATTGAAACTTAGCTGCTGCCTTGCTAAAAAAAACTCCATGTCTTACACATCAACCTCTACAATCTGAATGTAGATTCTGCCAACTGATTGGTTGGGGAAGGGGGTACCAGAGGACAAGAGTACCCTTCTCCTTTTCTTTGTAAATACAACCATTGACATGATTCTTTCTCCTCAGAGACTCCACAGCTTCGCCTGGTGGATGGTGGCAGTCGCTGTGCAGGCAGAGTAGAGATTCTTCACCAACATTCTTGGGGCACTGTCTGTGACCAAAACTGGGACCTGAATGATGCTCATGTGGTGTGCAGACAAATGGGCTGTGGAGTGGCCCTCCATGCCATACTTTCTGCACAATTTGGGGAGGGATCAGGGCCCATCTGGCTGGAGGACCTGAATTGCACAGGAGAGGAGGACCAAGTGTGGAAGTGCCCTTCTCTAGGCTGGGGGCAACATGATTGCACGCACGAGTGGGATGCAGGTGTCATCTGTTCAGGTATGGTCTGCACATTCTCCACTGCTTAAGAGAATGGAAAGGACTAAAATTGTGTATGTGATTCTAGGAAAATAAGAGACAGATGAGCCTCCAAGGACTAAGAGGTCCCCATGGACCCTGGGTATTCAAAATAGCAGTGGATATATCTTGTAAATCTCAAATATTGTCCTTTCCCTTCTTTGCAGTAATACTTAAAAGGATAGGTTTTGTTTTTGTGTAATCATTTCACTTAAAATTATCTTCAAAATTTTGTTTCTATTGATTTACCTATAAATTACCACACATATCTCTTTTTTTTCAAAATATAGACAAGAATGGGGCTTGCTTTTTTCAGTTGAATTGAATGTTTATATATGTATAGCCATACATAATTTTTTACTGAGTTGGTAGGTGTATAGCCACAGGGATAGGATTAAACACATCACAGGGGAATATAAAGAGTTTCACAAAATAGCAATTCTCCTTTCCAGATTCAGACATCAGAATTATCAACTCATTGGCAAGAAGGACCAGAGAACTGTGGGTTAAATGCTCTGAGTCACAGGTTTTTCTTCCATCATTAAAACAATAGATTCTCTCTACATTTCTTCTCAAAAAACACCTGTGGTATAAATTCATATGCCAGAGATAAATTTAGCTCTGTGATGACAAATCATTGTTAGATGAAACAAAATATTAATGCATATTTATTGTGGTATGATATTATATAATTTAGACTCATATCAGGTGGTTGCTCAGTGATCTCCCACAAAAACACCGCATTAACTGCAATTCACACACTAAACTGGCTTTATAAGAAACAATAAAGCAGGTGAGTGCATGCTTTTACAAAAAAAAAAAAGAGAGAGAGAAAGAGAGAGAGAGAGAGAGAGAGAGAGAGAGAGAGAGAGAGAGAGAGAGAGAGAGGAGAAGGAAGACTTGCCCTTTCCCTAACCTCAGACAGCCCAGCATGAAAAGAAATGGATACTTTTGGGGAATGGAAAAGGAATTAAGCCCAGAGTTTACACTTGAAACTCGGTACTAGGCTGCAACAGTGAAACCTGGTGCCTGACAGAGCCCAACAATACTGTCCCCATGCCCATAACTTCACACTGAGACTCTGGAACTGTGTTTAGTTGGGCAGCGAAGAGACTCTCCACCACTATTCCAACCTCTAGCAGAAGAGGGGAAAGCAAGACTCTCTAAGGATCAGGGCACAGTGCTGGCACAGGACTTTGTCTTAGAGTCTAGTGCCAGAACAACAGTGATTATACACAGTATTGCACAGGAATTAGAGGCTTCAAATGTAGAACATAGCAATACCTGTTGTGGCTATACCATACTGATTTTTAGTCCTTCACGTATATCATGAGTAGTGGGATAACTGAGTCAAATGGTGGTTCCATTGCAAGTTTTCTGAGGAATCTCTATACCACTTTGCATAATGGTTGCACCAATTTTCAGTACTACCCACCTTGTATGAGTTTGCTTTTATCCCAAACTCCTTGCCAACATTTATTGTTGTCTTGTATTCTTAATAATTGACATTTCAACAAGAGTAAGATGAAATCTCAGTGTAGTTTTAATTTGCATGTCTCTAGCTACTAGAGATATTGATTTTTAATATATATTTTTGTTGACCAATTGTATTTCTACTTCTGCGAAGTGTCTGTTCAGTACCTTAGTCCATTTATCTACTAGGTTATTTGGGGGTGGTTAAATTTCTGAGATCTTTATTTATTCTGAAGATTAATATGGAAATAGTTTTCTCCTAATCAGTAGGCTCTCTCTTCATATTTTTTATTGTTTTCTTTGCTATGAAGAAGCTTTTTGATTGAATCCATCCCATTTGTTTCTTGATTTTACTTCTTGCACTTTAGGAGTCTTGTTAAGGAAGTAGTTTCTAAGTTCTTGTGGTGGAGATTTGGGCCTATTTTTACTTTTTTTAAGCACAGGGTCTAAGGTATCAAGCCTATGTCCTTGATCAACTTTGAGTTGAGTTTCATGCAGGCTAAGAGATTTGGGCTCAATTATATTTTGCTACATATGAATTTACAGTTTTCCCAGTGCCATTTTTGAAGAGGCTATCTTTTCTTCAATGTATATTTTTGACACTCGATACTAGCTTTCAGCTAATATGAGATAACTGTATTTATGGGGTTTGTCTCTGTGTCTTCACTCTGTACCATTGGTCTACCTGTCTGTTTTTGTGCCAACACCATGCTGCTCTTTGTAACTATAGCTATGTAGTATAATCTTAGGTCTGCTATTGGGATGCCTCCAGCTGTATTTTTATTGCTAAGAATTGCTTTGGCTATTCTGGGTCTCTTATTTTTCCAAAAGAATTTCATGACTGATTTTTCTATTTCAATGAAGAATGCCATTGGAATTTTAATGGTAATTGCATTAAATCTGTATAGAATACTTGAGAGTATGACTATTTTCACAATATCAATTCTGCTATCCATGAACATGGGAGATCTTTTCATCTTCTATGGTGTTTTTCATTTTTTTCTTTTTTTTTTAAATTTTTAATATTTTTTTATTTTTTTTTAGTTTTCAGCGGACACAACATCTTTGTTTGTATGTGGTGCTGAGGATTGAACCTGGGCCGCAGGCATGCCAGGCGAGCATGCTACTGCTTGAGCCACATCCCCAGCCCTCATTTTTTTCTTTAATGTTCTGTAGTTTTCATTGTAGAAGTCTTTCATCTATTTTGTTATACAGATTCCCAAATATTTTAATTACTGAAGCCTCCTACCCCTCTGCCCTATCTAGAATTCATCAGTTCCTTCCATGCTCCCACTCTCTACCCCACTATGAGTCAGCCTCCTTATTCAGAGAAAACATTCAGCTTTTGTTTTTTGGGGGGACTGGCTAACTTCACTTATCATTATCTTCTCCAAAGCCATCCATTTACTTGCAAATACCATGATTTTACTCTCTTTTACGGCTGAGTAAAATTCCATTGTGTATATATGCCACATTGTTTTTATCCATTCATCCAATGAAGGGCATCTAGGTTGGCTCCACATTTTAGCTATTGTGAATTGTGCTGCTATAAACATTGATATCGCTGTGTCCATGTAGTATGCTATTTTTAATTCTTTGGGGTATAAACTAAGGAAAGGGATAGCCAGGTTAAATGGTGGTTCCATTCTCAGTTTTCCAAGGAAGCTCCATACTGCTGTCCATATTAGTTGCATCAGTTTGCAGTCCCACCAGAAATGTATGAGTGTACCTTTTTCCTCACATCCTCGCCAACTTATTGTTGTTTGTATGCATAATAGCTTCCATTCTTACTGGAGTGAGATGATATCTTAGAGTAGTTTGATTTCCATTTCTCTAATTGCTAGAGAAGATGAACATTTTTTTTCATGTGTTTGTTGTTTGATTGTACATCATCTTCTGAGAAGTGTCTCTTCAGGTCCTTGGCCCATTTGTTGATTGGGCTTTTGTTATTTAGGTGCTTAGCTTTTTGAGTTCTTTATATACCCTAGAGATTTGTGCTCTATCTGATGTGTAAGGGGTAAAATTTTGCTCTCAGGATGTAGGCTCTCTATTCACCTCACAGATTATATATTTTGCTGAGAAGAAACTTTTTAGTTTGATTTCATCCTATTTGTTGGTTCTTGATTTTAATTCTTGCACTATAGGAGTCTTATTAAGGAAGTTGGGGCCGAATCCCACATGATGAGGATTAGGGCCTACTTTTTCTTCTATCAGGTGTAGAGTTTCTGCTTTAATTCTTAGGTCCATGATCCACTTTGAGTTGAGTTTTGTGCATGGTGAGAGAGAGGGGTATAATTTTATTTTGTTGCATATGTATTTCCTGTTTTCCCAGCACTATTTGTTGAAGATGCTATCTTTTCTCCAATGCATGTTTTCGGCACCTTTGTCTAATACAAGATAATCATAGTTTTGTGGGTTAGTCTCTGTGCTCTCTATTTTGTACCATTGGTCTACCAATCTGTTTTTGTTATTTGTGCCAATACCATTCTGTTTTTGTTACTATTGCTCTATATTATAGTTTAAGGTCTGGTATAGTGATTCCACCTGCTTCACTCTTCTTGCTATGTATTGCTTTAGCTATTCTGAGTCTTTTATATCTCCAGATGAATTTCATTATTGCTTTTTCTATTTCTTTGAGGAATGCCATTGGAATTGCACTAAATCTGTGTACTGCTTTTGGTAGTATGGTCATTTTGATAATATTAATTCTGCCTATCCAAGAGCAAGGTAGATCTTTCCATTTTCTAAAGTCTTCTTTGATTTCTTTCTTTAGAGCTGTGTAGTTTTCATCGTATAGATCTTTTACCTATTTTGTCAAGTTGATTCCCAGGCATCTTCTTTTTTTGAGGTTATTGTAAATGGAGTAGTTTTTCTCATTTCCTTCTCAGAGGGTTTGTCACTGATATACAGAAATGCCTTGATTTATAGATGTTAAATTTATATCCTGCTACCTTGCTGAATTCATTTATTAGTTCTAGAAGTTTTCTGGTGGAGCTTTTTGAGTCTCCTAGGTATAGAATCATATCATCAGCAAATAGTGCTCATTTAAGTTCTTCTTCTCTTATACATATCCCTTTAATTTATTTGGTCCGTCTAATTGCTCTGGCCAGCATTTCAAGAACTATGTTAAGTAGAAGTGGTGAAAGAGGGCATCTCTGTTTGTTCCAGTTTTTAGAGGGAATTCCCTTAATTTTTCTTCTTTTAGAATGATGTTGGTCTGAAGCTTAGCATAGGTAGTCTTTTCAAAGTTGAGATATGTTCCTGTTATCCCTAGTTTTTCTTTTTTAACATGAAAGGGTTCTATATTTGTCAAATGATTTTTCTGCATATTTTGAGATGATCATATGATTTTCATCTTTGAGTGTATTGATATGATGAATTACATTTGTTGATTTCTGTATGTTGAGTCAACCTTGCATCCCTGGGGTGAATCCCACTTGATAATGGTGCACAATTTTTTGATATATTTTTGTATTCAATTTACCATAATTTTATTGAGAATTTTTGCA